TTCTTTGCTGAAAAGTTTTCAAATCCTGGGGGAATACTTCATCGTTTTGTGTGTGTGTGTGTGTGTGTGTGTGTGTGTGTGTGATTTATAGTATAACAGTTACAGACATGACACTTAAAGACTTAACCTGCGTTATTTAACATTTTCTCCATCACTTTTCAAAATCTAGACAATCAACAAGGCCTGATATGTAGCATTTGCCAATTCTGTGGTATAAATACTCCCACTTAGGCCAGTTTCAAATTACTAACTTAATGTCACTAAATAAACTGGAAAGACATACACAGCAGTACATCATTTTATCCTATTCCCACCATACAGATACTATAAATGCAAACAACCTCAAAACTATATAATAATAAATTTATAAAATAACCAGGAAGTGATGAGTATTTCTTACTCTGGTTTTGGGTTTTCTGGTTTGTTTGTTTGTTTTAGGTCTTAACCATTGGACCTCCAGGAAAATCCCCCTCTGTTTTAGAAATATTGTTCATTTAATTGCAAGGTTACATATTCAATTTTTGATATTGCTGTTTTTAATAATCAGTCCATAATGTTTCTGGAAAAACAAACAGCTTTCACAAATCAGTAAGCACACCACTGGGTGTGGTGAAAGTCAGGCTTGTCATGACTTTCCTGGTCAAGCCAGTAACCATGACCAGCAATATCCACCTTTCTTGCCTCTTGGACAATCTGCTCCTCTAACTCTCTGCTTCAGCCACACTCCAGGGCCTCACTCAAACTGCTCCTCTAGGAGCAACACTCCTGCCACCTGGGGCAGGTTATCCCTACTCCATAGCATCTACAAGTCGAGTTTGAAGCATTTATCATAATTTGTTATTAAAGTACTCTGGGAGTACCAGAGATTGTTCTTTGTTTCCCTGAGCCATAATATCTGTGATGGCCCAGGCCTAGTATAGTTCACATTCATATCTACTCCCTCAGTACTCACTATAGTGTATAGTGAGTGCTGAATAAGTATTCACTGAGTGAATACTTAACGAGGAAGGGCTGTGAGCAAACAGAAAGCATCACTTGAGGAGGCTCCACCAGAAAATATATCCTTTGATGACTTTTGCTTATTTAGAATGGCCTGGGCTCCACCATTTAGGACTAAAAAGTATGATTAAAACCTCTATGGAGAAGGAAATGGCAACCCACTCCAGTATTCTTGCCTGGAAAAGTCTATGGACAGAGGATTCTGGCGGGCTGAAGTCCATGGGATTACATGACTGAGCATTACATGACATGAGGGTGGAGGGAGATGCGTTGGTAGCAATAAAGTGGTAGAACTAAAAACAAAAACAAAAACCTCTACACTGAATCTTTCCTAAAAAACTGTGTCCCTGTAAGAACATTTACCCTGTGACACAAGGTAGAACTTTAGACTCTTCTCTAATGCCAAATAGTGTGTTTCAATAACTTTCTTTTGAACATGTTCTAGCCATGGGCTACCAGACAGAAACTAGGGTGGGTGTTCTAACTAGCCTACTGAGTAAACAGGTGACCTTTGCCATGTTCCTGGGCTGGGCGCCCCAAATACCAGGGAAGTGTACCCTTTAGCACGTGACCCTTCCTGGCATGGCGAGATAGAAGTTTTGACACACATTCATTCATGACACCAAATACGACAGACATTAAAAGAACCACTTGTTGGAAAATCGGAGGTACACACAACGTTTCCTTGAGTAAAACTTCATAAAATTAAGGAGAAAACAAACAAAAACTAACCAGCAAATTGAGACTCATGCAACGTGGCTTGGATCCCCGGCGTTGGGGAAAAAAACCCGAGAAAAAAAGAAAACAGCTTTCCACTCCAAGACGCAGGCCTGGAGAATTCCATTCAGAGACGACGAACTGACTTTAACAAGTCAACCACCAAACTATCACAAGAGTTAAAAACAAACAAACAAACAAACAAACAAAAAAAAACACAACTTACAAAACCCTACACTACACAAACATACCCAAAACAAACACCCTTAGGAAAAAAAAACAAACACCCAAACATTGCAGATGCCATAAAAACCAACACTGCTAAATCGCTTCAGTCGTGTCCGACCCTGGGTGACCCCATAGACGGAAGCCCACCAGCGTCCTCCATCTCTGGGATGAACACAAGAATGGGTTGCCAAATCCTTCTCCAATGGAGAAAGTGAAAAGTACCAACACTACACTACTTTAAATACAACTAATGAGACAGCAACAAAAACTCAAATCTAATCGTATAATACATTAATACCACTGATCGTCAGGAAGAATCAGATAGGAGCAATCAGGGTGTTGCAAGTCCTGATTACGCAGAGCCGTTAATCACGAATCATGCGAGCTCCAATCATCATGTTCTATTCTGCCCTCCAAAAGGAGGAACAGGTAAGGATTATCCTACCTGACGATACCGATAAGCCTGCAATATTCCGTACTCCGGGGAAAAGACTCCGCTATCAGGGAGGGTGAGTAAAAGACATGTTAGCCCGAGCAACCTGTCGCTATCCAGGTTCTTCCACTTCTATTGTTCAATTCATGTGCAGATGTTTTAATATATATTTTCCCATTTGGCTGTCAAAAGAGCAAATGCTAATCCCTCCCAGAATGCTTCACTCACTTAAAGAGCTCGAGGTACTACCCTTAAGCATCACTTTATTTACATATCCCCGCCCACTCCCTTCCGCCAGAAATCTACCGTAATAACTAAAATAGAAGCGACATTTAGTATATTACAGTGCAAGGCAGGAAAACAGCCTTCTGTTTCTACAGTAGTTTGGCCACCCCAATTTTCTCCTGAAATTATTGTCTTGATTTTTTTTTTTTCTTTTGGCCACACTGCCTAGCATTCAGGATCGTGGTTGCTCCAGCAGGGACTGAACCCGTGACTGCTGCAGTGGAGGCGTGGGGTCCTAACCACTGGCCAGCCAGGGAATGCCTCTAGGAATTCCTGTAAGTTTTGACCTTATCCTAAAATATATTTTATTACAAAGGACTGTAAACAAAACGCAGATAGTCCCAGACTCGAGAGATAATTACCCTAACACTGACATCCTTCACCAAATGCAGTGTTAGAAGGAGGGCTGAAGCCTTCCTCTTCCAGGAAGGGTGAGTGGTCCTTCGCTCCTTCAGCCTTCATCCCTACTTCCAGTCACGAAGGTATCAGAAAGGTTTCTTTTTCAGCCCGAAGACGCTGATGAATAATGCTATTTCGGTGACAGCTGGGAGGGCACTGAGGAAGGTAGGTGATGGGTTCAGAGTTTCTTCTAATAAAAATACCTAGATCCCCAAGCCAGCGATCCCACCCCCCACCCCCTGAAGTGTAGGAGTGGAGGACTTCAAACAGACTCAGGAATGTTGAGTGGATCTGGTATCTTACACATGGAGTAAAGGGCTGGGAAGGCAAATCTTCAGATTTAAAGTAAACCTCCCTTCCCCGTCCTCAAACATTAGGTGCTACCATACCTGCAAAAGACAAAAATGTACCAATATGTGGTGCACTCCCAACGCTCAAATATGAAGAAGGATAGGGCCACAGATGCACCACAGTGAGCCCCGATGGCTTGGGAATACACCAGAGTCAAGGAAAGCCTTTGGATCAACAGGTAGTGATGAGCCAGAAAAGGCTGGTGATGGGCCTGGCATCTGCATTCACAATCAGCTTCTGGTGAGCAAGGCATCTCTTGCTCCCTTTACCACACTGCAAAGGCCAGAGCCAGCAGCCCAGACTTTTGGGTTTTAGGATGGCTATGTGTAGAGGCCAGAGCTGAGCCTGCACTGCTGGGAAACCAAGCTACCTCCATCCCGTATCTAGTTTGGACCCTTCAGGTGAAGTAGCAGACTCCCAATCTACTCCAAGCACACAGAAATGCTCACAGTGACACAATACACTGCTGGGATCACTCTCCAGCACCCTGGTGTTGAGAGCCTTCTCTGATCCATCTTCCTCATTTCCTATGTCTCTTCTGCGTTCCCATAGTGCTTCGTATCTTTACATCTGATGGCACCTGTGCTCATCATACTGAATTACAGATGTCTGTGTGTCTGCCTCTTTCTCAAGATAGAAAACTGTGTTGTACTCCCATCTTGAGATCTCCAGTGCCTGGTGAGTAGCAGGAGCTCAAAAAGTGATCAGAGATTGTATCAAATCTTCCACATTGCCTAACATCTCTCCACAGGAGGGATTCTGTTTGCCTGCTAGGGCAAACACCACTGTGCCAGAAAGGCCTAGTTAAGTGGCTGAAGGGCGTTATGGTGGACAAGGGCCGAGGAGGAAAGGAGTACACGTAGAAAGGATACAGATGAGGCTCTGGGTGCTGTTGAACATGGAAATTCCTAAGAAGAAACCAGCCAGCTCCACTGCAAAGAGGGCCAGGGTGACAGAGAGCGCTGCCACCAGCCTGCAGAAAAGAAGGAAGTGGCTTAGGCCTTCTGGACTTTATCTAAGACCCCTTCACTCCCACTACTGCTTAATTCTGCCCACCCTGTCCCACATGCTCACTGAATGTCCTGCTTCTCATACTCTTCAGGGGTGAATTTGAGAGGCAGGCAGGCCTGGATGTTGCTGTCCTAGGGAGCAGGGCAGAAAGAAAGAGAAGTTGAAAGAGGCTCTGGCGGCGGGGTATGGGAGGACCTCACCGGGTAAGGCCCCGGGGGATAAAGGGTGGGTTGGGGCTGAGACCACCCCAAATTGGAAGGAGGAACGAGAAGCGGGCCATGGGTCTTACCCTGGACCAGAATAAGGTGATGACGACCACCAGATGCGCCAGGAGCGTCAGAAAGCGAGAAGGCACGAGCCCCGAGATCCGGCCCATGGTCCTCAGGGGAAGAGGTACCTCCTGGAGCAGAGGCCGTTTGTCTCTGGGGCTGAAAGCTCAAGGAGGGTCACTCCTCAAGTCTCCAAGCTAGCAGACAAAAATTCGACGTACGCCGCCTTCCCGCTTACGCTGGCGCCGCTCAGTTGCCTTGGTAACAGCAAAAACGAGGGCTACGACGGGACCTCTGAAAGTCTCGCGAGAGCGGCAAATTACCGCGCCGCCGCCGGGCCTCTGGGGAACGTTGGTCCGGGTCCACAACACCTGTGCAGATCCCGACCGGATACGGAGAATCGAGCCGCCTTCCTCTCCACGTGCAGACGAGTTGTCTGCACAATCTGAGAGTGTGTTGTGGCTCTGTCCCGCATTGCCGAGTCTGCCCACACAGCACTGGCGAACGGAAACTCGGACACTCGCTTCTCCCGGTATCCCCACGCCGGGAGCGGCCTGGCCCCCAGCCCCTGCTATTTTGCCCAGGATGACCCTCCGGACACCACTGTCACCACCACGTCGGCCTTAGGGCGCCTACATGCCCGAGGCCTGGACACTCTCTTTTCTATCATCCTCCGCATCCGTGTAGCTTCCCCCTGGCCTAGGCCGAACTTGTAGAGGTGGATGTCCCTTTATTGTCCCGGAGCCCCTGGTTGTTGGCGGACCGTATACCTGAACTTTCCTTGATTCTGGTTCCCCCCACCCATTCGCTCAGATTGGTGAGGGATTTGCAGAGTACAGAAAAGAGCCCCTCTCCTGAACTAGGGTGTGGATGAGAGGCGTGTTGCGGGAAGGAAGTGGACTTACGGGACCAGAAAAGGGAGTGGAGGAAGAGAATGAAACCCCGCGTCCCTGGGGGGCAAGAGTCGAGGGCGGAAATTCAGACTCTACAACGATTTCCTTATCTCTTAGAGGTGTGGCCAGCTGTAGTCTCTGCCCAGCTATAGTACAAGCATCTCTTACGATTGGGACCTCACGGACCTTCGGACCTTAAAGGTGATTCCTGCAGTATGGCAACTTCTCGCCAGAATTCATGGCTAACAGTCAAGTTACAACCTCCAGGGGCCCCACCCCCTAACCAGGTCACCTCCCAAGAATAATAATGGATAGTCCATAATAAGAATAAAAAAGAGGTTTATTTGAGCCAAACTAAGGAGTAGCTTGGAAGCTCCTTTCCCAGATTACTCCTGAGAAACTGCCCCAGCGAAGCATCGTTTTCAGTGCAGTTTTGCATCTTGTAAGAACAAAGAACTTTATACAAGTCAGGGTTACATTTCTTCATTTTTTTTTTCTAAGGACCAGACGATTAATACACAGCAGGTCAGCATGGCCTTGGCACCTGGAAAGCATCTCTTATCATCACATCGAAGGTGTCCCAGGAAGAGGGGCATTTAATCTTTATTTTTAACATGGGCATTTTTTACTTCTGGTCAGTGTACCCTGTCCTTTAAATAATTAAAGCATATGTACAACGTGTGTTTGTTAGACCACAAACAGGCTATTTTAGTTAGGATAAAATTCAAGTTGTGTAATATTTAAGCCAGAATGACTTCCCTATATCTCAATATGTGAACACTTATTACTACTCTTCATCTCAGTGCCTCTTAAACAGGTCTAAACTACAAGCCCAAGAGGCATTTTTTAATTTCTTCATTCATTCAACAAATAAGTCTCAGGCATGTGCTGGGCTCATTCATATTCTTGAGGAACAAGGCAGAAGTCTCTACCTTCCTGGGGTCAAAGAGATTGACAAACACGTCAACAAATAATAAATCTGCACGGTAAAATTTGTAATAAAAATTTTAAAGGGAAATATTAGAACAACGTGATCAAGGAAATTTTCTTTGAAAATGGATCATTTGTTCTTAAAAGTTAATTTTAGGAAATGTCAAAACTGAGAGAAAATGCTTTTCTCTCTTGCAGGTCCCCAATGTACTAAATGGATTTCCTTTTTCTAAACCAGTGTGTGAAAAATTTCAGATGTCAAAGAGATAGTCAAAAGATGTTTCCTCAAGTTTATGAAAGAGAGATATAACAAGAATGGATAAACAACAAGATCCTGCTGTATAGCCCAGGAACTATATTCAATGTCATATGATAAGTCATAATGGAAAAGATATATATTCTTTATATCTGAATCACGTTGCTTTACAGTAGAAATTAACACAACATTGTCAAACAACTACACTTAAGTAAAATAGTGTTTTTTAAAATGGTGTGACAAATTTGAAATTTAATGTGTGATCCTAATGGATCCTGGATCAGAAAAACAAAATTTATTATAAAGGACATTAGTGGGAAAATTGGCAAAATTTGAATAAGGTCTCTAGCCAAGATCAATAGTATCGGAGTGAAAGAGGTGGAGTGAAGTGGAAGAAATCTAGAGAGTCTTTTAGAAGATAAAGTCTAAACATGGGAATGTGTGTGGGTGAGAGAAGGAAGGGGTCAAGGATGACTGTTAGATTTTGGGACCCAGCAGCTTGAAGTTTGGGGCATTCTGCGCATAACAGCCTTCCTGCCTGGGGACCTATAGATAGTAAGAACCGGGAGATACAGTTCACTTTCTGAATGGGTAAACAGCAGGCGTTTAGTCCTGTCCCTTTCCATGTCTTTGGTTCAGAGAAGCCAGCTCCACACTCGCCAAAGAGAGTTTTGGAGCCACCTTGTGGCTATAGGTGGTATTGCAAGTGGCCAACGGTCCTTCGGCTGGAACTCACATGTTCCAACATTTGAACTGGCAATAAAATTTAGAAAAGCGTTTTTTAAGTCTGAAATATTCAAACATATTGTATGTAAAAATAAATTATTTTTCATTCAAAAGGTAATGACCCCTTTTGAAGCCTACCATTCTGTTTCAGCAATTACCAACACTTGGCCAACCTTGTTTCAGTTATATTCTGCCTCCCCGTCCCACTGGATTATTTTGAAGCAAATCCCAGACATCACCAAATAGTTCTGTCCAGGCGGAGGAAGTTTCCACCCCCCTGTCTTGAGTTCTTTTAGCTAATCTAATAATTAAATTGACATAAGATAGATTGATAGGAGGAAAAAAATCCAATTTAATTCATACACAGGGAAATCTCACAGAAAAAGGACCACGGAAGAGACCAAAGGAAGCTGTTTATATGTCGTTTTCTGACAAAGAAATATTGTTTGTGAAGAATTAAAGGGGTTTGTGCTTGGGGTAGCAAACTAAAGAAGTAGCAAAGTTTGTTAATGCAGCTATCTTAGCCTTGAATTCCCTCACTCTGGTGATAAAACAAAATTTATATTTAAAGGCAGGACAAGAAAAACTGAACATAAAATTCTCTCTGTGTGTTTGTTTGGGCCTTGTTCCTCCCTCCCTAAAGTGCAGTGTGCATCTGCATTACATATTAACCAGATGGGAGTGACTGCTCAACATACAGATCAATTTTTTCCCCCTTCTTCTAATGCTAGCAGTGTAACTTTTTGTTGTTGTTGTTACTTCTTAAAACTTAAAAGAATAGCATCCTTTCCCAACTCTGTAGAGGGTCGAGAGTCATGGTGACTTGTTCCTCACTTTGTAAATGCTTACTTGGACTATATACCTTGGTAAACCTTATGTAAATTACCAGTATGGCATTTTGATATAGGATCCTTTGTCTTGAAAATGTATATGACTAGTGCCTTGGGCTTTTAACAGGCAGCACACCACATTTGCTTGTCTATCTTTTTCTGGTGTTTAATCTGAGCATCAGGTTCAGGAGTAGGCAGACTGAAGCAACCATTGTAATGTTCCCATCAGTTTTTCACACTAGGTGAGCAATTTTAAATAGAAGACAGTGGGTTCAAGTCCCAACCCAAGGGTTCAAGTCCCAATCAGTTTTGGCTGGATTCGAATCCCATCTGAGTTGTGCAGTTTCAATGGTATTGATTTTAAGCCACAGCATGATGGAATCATGTCAGCATTTTAAAAGACGATTCTCTTTGACTATTCTGGAGACAGAGACATTAGGGCGGAGTCTACTACAGTCATCCAGCAAGATGGCAGTGGGAATAGGGAATGAGGGCTAACAGAATTATGAAGGAAATGAAATTGAGTGAACTTGGTACTAGAAATGGGAAGCGAGGAAGGGGGAAGAGTCGAGATGAATCCAAGCCTCAGCCTGGCCTCTAACTGGGAGTGCAGAAGACTGGGAAGGGAATGAGACAAGAGGGAAGGGGACAGGGCACAACCTTTAAAAGAACGACGCAGCGATGGAGAACTGGATAGAAGAGAAAAATGCTTAGAACCGTTCAGGCCCAAGATGGCAGAAGATTCAACTTCTTAAACCTTATTACACGCCCATCCTATATATTAACATATATTAATATATATATATATAATATATTAACATGTTAAAGGACACACCCACAGGCGTCATGACACTTCTGAGGCAGACCATAAAAGGCCAAAAAGGGGGGCAGTGACCCAATTTCTGGAAATCCTCACCCCTTCCCTAAGTAGTTGGAATAATCTTCCCAATTGTTACCCTCTGAAATTACTCAGACCATAAAAACTAGCCACCTTATATTTCCCAGTGCTCTTTCAGAGATGGCCCACACTTTTTATAGAGTGTGTTCAGTTTAGTCGCTCAGTTGTGTCCAACTCTTTGCAGCATGCCAGACCCTGGAGCCTACTCAAACTCATGTCATGTCTCTCTCAATAGATCTACTTCTTACCTATCTCTTTGCCTCTCCCTGAATTCCTTCTATGCGGAGACTTAATGAACCTCAGCTTCATAAGTCCTGACAGGAGGTGTATGGTTTCAGCTGGGAGATTGTGGGTTTGAGTCCCACCTGAGGTGGGAGGTTTCCGAAGGATGACAGGGTCAAGTGAAGGTGTCCAGCAGGCACTAGACTGAATCCAGAGGTGGGAGCAGGATTCAGGAGCCCTCAGCACACAAGTGATGGCTGACTCCAGGGAAGGGTTTACTCTGGGGAAGTTGTGTAACATAAAGAGAGAAGACAGAACTCCGAGGAAAAAAAGACAGAAAAAGAGACTGGAGGGAGGGGGATGGTAAGATAGGAGAAAGCCAGCAGACAGCAGTGTCATGACAACCAAGAGGGAAGGCTCTTAAAGGATGTTGCCCAGTCAATTAAGGTCAGGCTTCTCGGAGGGCTTTGACTTGTCTGTAGTCCCTGATAACTCTCTTTGGCGGTATTGGACCCTTGAACTTCTTTCACCCTTCAAGAAGCAAATGAGCAAATGTGTGTGTGTGTTTGGGTGGCGGGGGCGGGGCGGGGAGGGCGTTTCTTCCAGCTTCTGGTATTCGTCTTTATAAGTTTCCAGCCTGGTCTCACCTGGGGAGCTTTAACAGGTACAGATATTTCTGTCAACGGAACTCAGAACAGTGGTTGCCTCTGTGAGAGCGGGAGGAGAGGGGCGCGGATCGACTCGGAAAAGATAAGAAAGAACCTTGTAAATTCTTCAAAACTCACCAAAATAAACACTTAAGATCTCTGCATTTCATTGCAGGTAAGGGATTCCTCAGAATCGTCAAAAGTGACAAAGTTACCGATGCCAAGATTCTACCCTGGATCTTTAAACCAGAAACTCCAAAGTTGGGGCCTGTGAGTAGCTACCAGGAAGGCTCCGCAGGCGGCTGGTAAGTGCAGCCCGGGAGGGGACTCACGGCTGAAAAAGCTAATCTCTGTCCCCGACACGTGCCTCCATCACCTTCGGCCTGGTATTCTCCGTCCTTCCACACGTTTCGGTTCCAGTCCGTCCCCGATGGGTTGTGAGCTCTGGGTCCCCCAGGGAACCAGCTCAGGGCCGCCTTACGGTCTGCAGGAGGCCGGCGACGAGGTCGGGGCACCGGTGAACCCGGAGCCCACAAAGCCGCTGCCCTGCGGGTGGCGGGCCCTGCTGGTCCCACAAGGCCGGAGGGAGAGGGCAAACACCACACGGGGGGATTTTAGAAGTTCTAGAAAGGCCCTCGGCCCCTCGATCGCCGGACCCGGCCGCCTCACCGTCCAGTCGTCATGGGGAGACCTGTCCACCCCCGTGGCCGGCCGACCTCGTGGCGCAACGGTAGCGCGTCTGACTCCAGATCAGAAGGTTGCGTGTTCAAATCACGTCGGGGTCAGCGTTCTCTTTTCTAGAGCTCGGGTAACTTTTATTTATTCTCCTTATTTGCAACTCTGTTGGAGTCCCATCCCTCAGATTAGAGAAGAAAGACTTCATAGGGGCCGGAAGGGGAGGGTCCCTGGCTCCAAGTCCCGAGCCGCCCCGTCGGGGGAGCTCCAAGATCTCGCGATAGTTTTTGCTGTAGATCCGGGGACTGTAAATCTGGGCGGATAGCGGGGCTCCTGAGGAGTGACGCACGCCTGGGAAATCTCAACGCCGAGTCGGGTGCTAGCGCAGGCTAGAATATCGCTCGGCAGCCAGAGCCCTACGAGTCGTCCTCGCGGTGCCGGGCGGGATCCCTCGGGAAACCCTCCCTACGCGACGTAGTTGAGCTCACGTTTTCTCCGAGAAGGAAGAATCCAGACCCCAGAGAGGAGATCCTAAGTTGTTTTCCTGTGGACGAGGTGGCCGAGTGGTTAAGGCGATGGACTGCTAATCCATTGTGCTCTGCACGCGTGGGTTCGAATCCCATCCTCGTCGGCCTGCGACTTCCGCGGCTTTGTTTATATTTTATAACACAAGAATTGTTCTTCTTACGTTCTGTTTGCCAGGATTCAATTTCTGTGTCATCCTTCCAACCTATCCCGTTTACAGCCGCGGATTTCGCACCTTCTACCTTGTTTTCCAGTACGACTGAAAGTTAGAAAGGTACCCCGGCATTCATTCACCTAACCTGGAACTGACCTGGCCAGGGAAACGAGGCAGGAAAATGTACGCGCGGGGCGCCGTGGCTTAGTTGGTTAAAGCGCCTGTCTAGTAAACAGGAGATCCTGGGTTCGAATCCCAGCGGTGCCTCCGGAGGTATGGACTGCTTTTACACCTCGAGGAAAGAGTCGTAGGCTTCTAGCTTATATATAAATTTTCGGGAGTCTGCCGGTTGCCATCAGACAGCCTTTTCTATTTCCGGTTGTGCGCCTCAACGCTAAGTGCTAAGTGCATAGTCTTGCGCTCTATGTTGGCACGGCGACCTGCCAGTCAAGCACCTATTTGCATAATCTGTGCTTGCCACTATTTTGGCTTCGCTTTTATTTCCCGAAATGATAAGTGATTCCGTTTTCGTAGTCTGTTTCCCTGTTTCCCCAAATAAGCTTACCCGTTTTGAGATTTTCTCACAGATAGGACTAATTAGTAATTTGTGTTTTACATAGATTCATATTGAGAGGACTTAGTGTCAACTGGCCGGTTAGCTCAGTTGGTTAGAGCGTGGTGCTAATAACGCCAAGGTCGCGGGTTCGATCCCCGTACGGGCCACAGTTGTAGCCTCCTTTTATTTATTTTTTTTTTTTTTAATTTTTATTAGTTGGAGGCTAATTACTTTACAGTGTAGTCTCCTTTTAAAGAATTTACTGCCAATTTCTTGTTGTTAGGGAAGGTGTGTGAAACAATATTACCAATTCCGGAACTTTTCACACCTCGAGGAATAACGTGTTTAAATTCAGTCCAAAGACCTAGTGTCTTGAGTTAGAGGAGGACAATTTAACGTAACTGGATCTGTATTGTGATCTGTTTCTAAATCTCACCGTAACGGGAGCTTCTGGAATTTACCATGTGACTGTAAACGAAGGCGGCTAGAAATTGGCACAGATTATCCTAGACCATTCATAGGGCACTGATCAGCAAGCAGAGTGTGAGAAATGGGGTCAAGAATGGAGCTAGCAAGTGTTTCCAGTCTTTCTCTAGAGCCTAGATATTCAGTTTGCCCAGTCCCTGCCTGTCCACTTCAGGAACTGAGAAGACAACACTTCCTCCCTTTTTTCTTCTAGATCTCCTTGCTTCTGATTCTGCTTTTACTGTATCTCTCAGCCCATACCTGTGTCTTACCTTTCCTCAGATCTGCTGTTTAGGAGCAGGAACCATATCCTTCCACATGTGGCCTGAGACCCCCACCCCACTCCCAGCACCAGTCCCAAGAAAACTCCACGAAAAGACTGACCCTCATTCCCATTACTTTGGTTCATCAATCCCTATAACCCCACACAGACACAGCCTCAGCCTTAGCAGCAGCAGCACTTTAATTCCACAAAAACTCAGAAAGCCAAAACTGATTAGAACATTCCACAACAGGTGGGCTTCAAAACCAACAATTCTATCTGAACCCTGAGAGCAGAGAGACCCCTCCCAACGCACCTCCTCCACCATGCAATACATTCCTTCTAGCTTCGCCCAGGTTATGACTGGGGAAATGGGATGGTAGAGGGCCAAAGGGCAGAAGCAGGAGGTTATCCATCTGCAAATATGCGTCGTTGTCTGCATGGTGTGTGGTCTTTGACCACACAAGCTCCCACAGCCCCTGGCACCTGAGGTGTGACCACTGGAGGTCAGAGTGGCCAGAGTGGGGGCTGGAGCCTCCTCTGTTCTCCTTTCTTGATAATTTATGACAGTCACATCTCCTAAGCCCAGACCTAAAGCCCCGGATTTCCAGAGACGGTGCTCTAATTGGGAAAGAGAGTTGGGAGAACAAGGTAGCTGCAGATGGCCAACTGAACAGAAGCAGAGCATCATACCCTCCCACCAGGAGAGTCTTTAGAACTTCCCCATGTACACCTGCATAAGGCCCAGCGAATGGTCGCAGGCCTGCTAAACGTATCTGGAAGAACCTCCCATATATAGGCCTCCCTCCTCTCAGCAGGCAGGTCCCACCAGGGCTCCTTGAAGAGTCCTTAAGGATCCTGCTGGTCCCTGGCGTTGCCAGGCCTCTCCTGCCTTCCCAGTCACTTGCACAGGGCCTCCAACACCTCCAAGGTGCGTCGGATATCCCGGACTTGTCGCGCCAGTCCCTGAACCGGTTGCAGAGCCCGCTCCAGTTCTTCACAGCGCGCCAGCAGGGTATACATGCCCTTGATGCTCATGTCCACAGCTTCACCTAGAGAGTCCACTGCATCGCGGTAGGTCTGGATGCAGCCCACGCTCAGAGCTGTCAGCTCCTGCACCGCACCTCCCAGACCGCGAAGCAGACGGTCCACCCTGCCGCCCAGCTCCCGACTCAGCCGCTCCAGGTCCCGCAGCACGTCGGGGTCGATGGGAGGGATGGCCGGAGTGGGTGTGGGCGCTGAACAGGGCCGCGTAGGGGCAGGGGGCGGGGGTTGAGGGGCGCCGCTCAGACGGATCTTGAGTTGCAGGTTGTTGGCGACAAAGTGGGTGAGGTCGCCATGGCGGCTCACCGTGCCTTCAAGCTCCAGGGGGCTGGAGATAGTGGCGCGCCGCCCGCCGCCGGCGCCAGATTCTGCACCCCCTGAAGACACGGCGCCGCCGCACGCCCCGCTCAACCCGTCCAAGCTGCGGCTGTCCTGAAGGCGGCTGGAGAACGAACGGCTACCCCTGCCGGCTGCGGCCGCCTCGTCGTCGTCTTCCTTCTCCTGCTCAACATCCATCCCGCCGCCTACAGGGCTCCCTCGACGGCAGACCCTCTCGGATTCAGGCTTGTCTTCTGGCGGCTCAGGGTCCTTGCGCCGGGAGGACCCGTGCGGGTCGTATTCGGGATCTGGCGCCCCGAGGCGGCTCCCTGCCCCAGAAAGCGTCCCTCCACGGCCCGGCTTGTCCTCCGGAGCTTCCCATTCCGGAGGGTGGACAAAGCCGCAGCTCGAAGTCTTCGGGGACGCCTTGGGGTGGCAGCTCGCGCCCCCAACGTTCTCTCCTTCTTCCTCCTCGGACAGTCGGAGGCCTGAGGGCCGCTCAGAGGGCGTTTGGCTCGGGCCGTCGCCGAAGAGCGCAGCTTGCTGTTCCCCCAGAGCTAGCAGGTCTGTCTCGGGCCCAGGCCGCCCCCGGGGCGACTCCATACTGCAGCTGGGGGCAGGAACCGAGTAATTGGTTCGCCCCGGCTCGGGAGGCCTTGGCGGCGCCTTTAAGGGGCGTTTTAGAGGCACGCCGATTGGCCTCGGGCTGACAATGGTCAGGACGTGAAGAGCACTCTGATTGGCCCCGACAACCAGGAAGTCCCAGAAGACGAGCTGTCATTGAGCAACCGAACACACGTGAGAGCCGGCAGGGCGGAGAGAAGGAGGTAACTGCTGCGCTCGTTGCCCCGCCCTTTCGAAAAGTTGAAAAGGCAGATCTTAAAGATGAAGATCCTGAAACGCCTGAGCTCTCCAGGGGCGGGGCTAGGCTCTTTCCGCCCACAATTGTTGCTTAGTAACCGGCTCTAGTGGGGAACCAGAATTGGGTTTCCTAAAAGAGGTTCTTGGGATGAAAGTTGTATATCCTGTTTGGACCGTCGGGATTTAATCGCACCTTAGTTGATCAGGATGAAACCAGAATTCTTATTTGCTCCTCTGTTTTGTCTCCTGTCCCCTCCACCAGGTTTTGAGTGTCTCCTCTTGGAGGATGGTGTGCGATTTTGCCACTAGGTGGAACATTCAATAAGTTAATGGCCCTTAAGGTCAGAGCCCTGGTACCATTCGAATCTCTTCTCTTGCTTCTCTTCTCACTGGTCCTGCCATAGAGGCACTGGTCTTCTCACTGTTCCTGTGACAAGACAGACATGCTGCCGCCTCAAGGATTTACATTTGCTCTTGCAACTCCCCTCGGCCCCCCACCCCCTTTTTTGAGACCGAGTCCACAAAGAAAGTATATTAAAAAGTGAGGACATCACTTGGCCCACAAAGGTCCGTATAGTCAAAGCTATGGTTTTTCCAATAGTAATGCACGGATGTGAGTTGGACCATAAAGAAGGCTGAGTGCCAAAGAACTGATGCTTTTGAATTGTGGTGCTGGGGAAGACTCTTTGAGAGTCCCTTGGGCTGCAAGGAGATCAAACCAATCAATCCTAAAGAAAATCAGACCTGAATATTCATTGAAAGGACTGATGCTGAAGCTGAAGCTCCAATACTTTGGCCACCTGATGTAAGACTCTGATGTTGGGGAAGACTGAAGGTGAAAAAAAGAGGGTAGCAGAGGACAAGACAGCATCAGGGACTCAATGGACATGAATCTGAGCAAACTCTGGGAGATAGTGGAGGACAGAGGAGCCTGCTGTGCTGCAGTCCATGGGATTGCAGAGTCAGATACAACTTAGTGACTGAACAAAGAAAAATGTTCACCTTTTTTTCTCCTTCACGTCCTTTTTCAAATAGTATCTTTTCAGTGAGGCCTCCCCTTACAATCTGTTTACAATTGGAACCACTTTTTGCAAGCTTCCTGAGCTGAAGATTCTTTTTCTCATTTATTCACCCCTCAGCCTCTCGAACAGCACCTGGGCTGCAGAGAGCACTCAGTAACTACTGTCAAATGAATAAATCTTAACCAAAATTATGATATAACTATATCATTAGGATGTAGGGACAGAAAATGCCCTTGTGTCTGGTGGCAGTGGAGTTAAAGAATGAAGTCCTTACATTTTGTATCAGGAAAATGATAGATTAAAGCCTAAAACTGAAAATGTAAAGTAGTGACAGAAGCATGTGATTTGGAGATAACAAAGTAAATACCAAAAACAAAGCAAAACTGTAAAAAGATTTGGAACAAATCCAAAAGGAATGTCTCTAGGGAGAGAGAAATGGGAAGACTGCTGGTTTTCTTTTTTTAAGCCCTATACTGTCCTTCAAATATTTTAATCTGTGGGCATATGTAGTGGGGTTGACTGGTAGCCCCCTAAAATATATGTCAGTGTCTTAACCTCTGGAAGCAATGAATGCAGTGTTTTTTGGGGAAAGGGTCTTTGCAGATATAATTAAGGATTGTGAGATAACATTATCCTGGATTATCTAGGTGAGCCATAAATCAAATTGCTAGTGTTCTTTTAAGACACAGAGGAAAGTGAAGACAGGAAGGCTGTGTGAAGACAGAAGCAGAGCTTGGAGTGATGTAGCCACAAGCCATGAAGTGCCTGGAGTCACATGAAGAAGGAAAAGGCAAGGCAGGATTTTTCCCTAGAGGTGTATATGGGAGGGTGGTGCTACTGACACCTTGATCATGGACTTCTGGCCTCCAGAACTGTCAGAGAATCCATTTCTTTTTTTTTTCTCATTTATTTTTATTAGTTGGAGGCTAATTACTTTACAATATTGTAGTGGGTTTTGTCATACATTGACATGAATCAGCCATGGTTTTACATGTATTCCCCATCCTGATTCCCCCCTCCCAGAGAATCCATTTCTGCTGTTTAAAACCACCCAGCTTTGTGGCAATTTGTTACAGTAGCCCTAGGAATTGAATATAGCATGAATATCTGACATGAAATAAAAATAAGAAACTTTATTGATGTTCTTCACCACATGGCTTAAAAGTACAAATAATAAACACATGCAGAAAAAGCATTAGGTGAAACTTAACACCTGTTCATACTTCAAAAAACACCAAACCCTTAATGAACCAGGAAGAGCCCGGGTCTTCCTTAACCTGATAAAAGACATGTATCAAAAACCTACAGCAAGAGATTTCCCCGACAGTCCAGTGGCTAGGACTCCACGCTTCCACTGCGAGGGGAATGGGTTCGTCCCCTGGTCAGAGAAACGTAAGATCCTGCATGCTGCTCGGGTGGCCAAAACAAAACAACAAAACCTACAGGAAGCACCAGATTGCAGGCATCATACATAGCAGTGAAACCTTAGGTCAGGAACAAGACACCATCAGCTTCTATCTACTCCTGTGCTAAATCCTCACCAGAGCAGAAAAACAAACAAAAAAGACAACTTTAATTGCTCCTGGGTGAGCAAGACTGACCCAGGAAAGGGAAAGATTAGAGGTCAACTAAGAGGGAGCAATAAGAGAAGGTGGATGGAGACGGCTGGTGATGGCTGGTGTGCAGGCACAGCAAGGTGGAGCCGAGGTCCCCAGCATCCCCAGGCCTGGGAGCCAGAGCAGGGGAAAGAAAAGGTGTGGAAGTGGGATGGTTGGAAGCTGACCAGATGGGGTTAGAGCTGAGAGGTTGCTTTCAGTGCTGAGGGGTGCTGCCAGGGGTGGTGATGCAGTGCCCACCCCAGTGCCCCGCATGGGCAACTCCCTCGCCTCCTCCCCACAGGTGAAGACTTCCCTCCACAGCAGTCTCCACCTGTAAACATCTACACTCATCAGTACAAAAAGCTTCAGCCTTTATTAAATAAAGAGGAGGTGGAAGACAGACGCAGAAACAGGCTGGGGACCCCCCCCCCTAACTACACATATACAGACAGACACAACTGAGAAAATGACAGGGACATTTCAGGGGACAGACTGAGGGGCAGAGGGAGGCAGCACCCTGCGAGAGTGGGCCCGGACCCAAGGGTGGGCAGAGACCTGGGCCAGTGGCAGGCGTTCTGAGGGGTTATGCTTGAGCAGCTTGGAGATGAGGTCCTGAGCTCCCACGGGCACAGAAGGAGGGAACTTTAGGTCCACCTGCAAGAAGGAGAGAAGGGCTTCATCCTGGCTGCTTTTGCCTCCACTTCCCACTCTATTAGCAGGATTTAACATCAATAGCAACAGTGTGCCCCCTCCCCACTCCAGCCCCTGAGCTGGCACAAACTCCAGCTAGACCCCCGGGGGCCAGCCTCCCACCTTGACAATGCGCCGGTACGTCTCATTGTGGGAAGCACTCTCAAAGGGTGGGTTTCCCACCAGCAGCTCATAGCAGAGCACACCGATGCACCACAGGTCCACCTTCTCATTGTGCGTGCGCCCCTCAATCATCTCTGGGGGCAGGTAGTCCAGAGTGCCGCACATTGTCTTCCTCCTGGGGGGGTGGAGGTGGGGGTGTGAATGGGCAGGGATGTCAGATCCAGACTTTCCTTCCTTTCCCTGCAGCCTGACAGGAAGCCCAGACCCCAGGATGTGCCAGGGGTCTTCCAATCAGGCTCTGATGGGGTCTTTGGGGTAGGAGTGGGGCTAACACACTGCCTCTGCATTTCCACACTGAGGGCCGTACCTTAAATCAGATATGAGGGCAACGTTCACCTTAGAATTAAAGGAAAAATTTCAGATGTCCATCAACCACATGTTGCTTAATCACGTTACATCTCTACTGTGCAATACTATGAAGCCATTAAAAATGATGTGGGAGTATTCTCAGTGATATGGCAAGAAAGTCCCAATGTTTCAAGTGAGAAATCTGGGTGACAAAACTGAGCCTCCTGTTTTTGTTTTTGGCCACACTGCATGGTTTGCAGGATCTTAGTCCCCTTGACCAGGGAACTAAGGTTGCATTGAACCTGGGCCCCCTGCAGTGAAAGCTGGAGTCCTAACCACTGGACCAGCAGGGAACTCCCAGAGTCTCTTATTTTTGTGAAGATATTGCTGTGTCTATATATTTACATGAGAACAACCCAAAATGTCTCTGGGTAACAAGATCTGGAGGGGTTTTATTTTGAGTGGCTTCACACCCAGGGTTGGCCTCCTGGCCCACCATACCTCAGGGAGGGGGCATGCACCGACCAGCCAAAGTCAGCAATCTTCAGCTCTCCCCGGAGCCCCAAGAGCAGGTTTTCTGGCTTGATGTCTCTGTGAATCACCTTCTTCGCATGGCAGTATGTCAGAGCATCTGCCAGCTCCTCCATGATCTGGGGGCCAATGACAGACAGTCAGACAAGGACTGACCTCGGGCTGCAAACAGCGTCCCCCCAGCCTCTAGGCCCCTGCCAGTGCCCCAGGTGCCCACCCGCCCCGACCGTGGCTGTTCGCTGCTCGTCAAAAGTTCGGCTCTTCTGCAGCTCCTTGTAGAGCTCCCCACGGGGGGCATACTCCAGAATCAAGTAGATCCTTCGCCGGTCATAGAAATAGTTGTAGAGACGCAAGATGTTGGGATGTCTGGGAGAGGAGACAGAGGAGGCATCAGGCTGCATTCTGGCCTAAGGAAATGGGAAAGATGACAGGTCGCATTGGGGCAAACTGGGTCAGGTCTGGGCCAGGTAGGGGAAGCCAGGTGGCAGTCCTAAGTGGGGACTGGAGGTGATTTTCTGGATTCAAGGATCTGGCTGGGATTGAGAGCTCATTGGGGCTGCGTGGCGGCAGCTGCAGAGAAGACAGTCCAGATGTGGTGGGGTTGGAGGAAGAGTGGGGTTGGGGCGGCAGGGGGCTCTGGCTCAGGGGACGTTGAGCATACTGCAGATGGGCTTGGATTTCGATCTCTCTACGCAGCTGGTGCTCCACACCCTCCTTCTCAATCTGAGACTTGAAGAGGACTTTGAGCGCCACGATGAAATGGCTTTTCTTCTCCCGAGCCAAGTATACATTTCCAAACTTGCCTTTGCCCAGAGGACGCCCAATCTCAAAGTCATCGATTGTGAAGGAACGCCTGTTTGGGAAGAAGTGGTGGAGCAGCTGAGCAGTGGTTAGTTGGTCCTCTGAGGTGTTTGCCTTCTCCCTGTACCTCCACCCCTC